GTTTTAATTGGGTAGTTTATAACTATTTTATTATAATATTGTATTTTTGTACTTACAGAATCATTTATTTTTAAATAAAATAATCACTTAAATCACCAAAAACCTACGACGTAATTCATTAAACTGCCAATTTAATTGATTGGTTTGTTAGAACATTATAATAGTTAATTATATTTGAATTTCGCACATAGAACAAAATAATAATGTCGTTTTTAGTATTTCTGGGCTATATTTAACAGTGATACTTATTCAGATAGATAGATATTCGTTAAACCTTCATTTTCATGTAAAAATTTTATTTTCCGCCAAAATTGCTGATAGAACAATATAATATTCAACCCGCGCTATATTGGGGGTCTTATCAGTATCGGGCAATTTGGTGTAGTGGAAGTTCCACTATGGAACAAACCCAAAACAAACGGTTACCTGAGCTTATATACTCCTATCGTAAGCTAACTGAGGCGAGATGTAAGAACATCACATGATCAACACCGTCTAATGACGTGGCGTGGGTGTTCGAAGCGCCCTTCACGGCAATTTTATGAATGCAAAATTAACAAATTTTAAAGTAACATTTACAATTTCTTAAATGAACAAATTTAATGTTTTGGATTTAAAGAGCAACTAAACGTTAATTTAATAGTTTTTTTTTAGGTAATCCTAAAAATTTCAGTATTTGATTCAACCAATTCCAGCTATTAAATCAAAATAGGATAAACATTTTAATTTAAAAAAATATTTTATGTTAAATCAATATTTTAACTGTCAAATGAACAAATAAACTTTGACAAACTCTGACTATTGCTTTGACACCAAAATATAGATTAATCCAATAGGTTTTTTGATAAAACAACATTTTCAAAAATGACATTTAGGCAAACGTTAACTCAACTACATTATTTTTTTCGGTGTGTTAACATGATTTTTATAAGTATATTTTAAATTTTATACTATAAAAAACAGCGAAAATCCATGTTTTTTGCTGGTTTTTATGATACTTTTTATTCTGAATGCAAAGATTTTAATGTTATTTAATTTTAAAATTTGCCTACGCGTTTTAATTTTTAACCACATTAAGGTTTGATTAATAACACTAGTTTACAAAATCAAAAAAAAATCTTCCCACCATATCCCATTATAAATTTCCCATGTATTTTAACCCACTAAACGGCCATTTCAAGCGGATGGACGGGACAAATCACAAAACTGTTTTTATAAAAAAAATTGTAGGCAGGGCCGAGCCGTGCCGGGGGTGCAAGGGGTGCATGGCACCCGGGCGGCACTAACACAGGGCGGCAAAATATCATCAAAAAAATTATATCATATTATCAAGAATAAAAAAGCCACCTTGCAATAGGCAAAAAACTTTCTAAAAATCACTTGCGTTTTATTGATGTCGGCGTTTCAAGGAATCATCGTAATTATTCTACACATAAAAACAATGCCAAAATTGTGCTGTCAGGCGGCAATGATAAAAAAGACATAATCGAACCCGCGGTAGCCACAAAAAATGATGATGACAATTTTCTTAAAGCCCGGTTTATAGATTGCCGCCCGCCCGCTTCGCTTTTCATCCGTCCGCTTCGAGTTCGTCAAGTTTCATCTTTTACGGAAGCGGGCTTACGGGAAACCAATCAAATCGCGCGCTGTGTACCACGTGATATTGTTTACAAGCTGAACTGTTAAGTTAAAGCATAATTTCTTCCGATTTGACGGCTGCGTATTTCAGCAATTTTTCTATTAAAGTGAGGCAAATAGGATGCAAACATAGTAGTTTCTTTTGTCTTTTAATGCGTTTAAGTTAAAAACTAGTTAATGATTTAAAAGGCATCTTTCCGAATTTATTTGTAGCTTTAAGAATATTTTTGACGATGGCAGCTGTTGCCCATGGAGAGCGGTCATTTTCGAAATTAAAACTGATTAAGACCTATTTAAGATCCAAAATGAGTCAATTCAGGCTTTCAAATTTAGCAATTATAAGTATTGAAGAAGATATTTATAACAACTTGGATGTAGGCGACTTGATTAGGGAATTTGCTATTAAAAAAGCGAGAAAAGTAGATTTTAGTTTTTTAGTTTAGTTTAATTATTTTTGTTTTTTTTCCTGAATGTATTTTTATTTTATTCTTTTATGTACCTATTTGTTAATAAATACTTTGTTATTTTTTAAAATTTGTTATAAGTATGTTTATTGAAAATGATAAATTATGAACTCCTTCCCTACCGAGAACCTAATTTTTTACATTAATGGGGGCGGCAAATTTAATTCTTGCACCCGGGCGGCAGATACCCTAGGCTCGGCCCTGATTGTAGGTAATTTATTAGGTATATATTATTTTTGCATCAAAATTGTCAAATATATTCTTCTATTATTAGGCTATACATTAAATAAAAAAAATCGCAAGAAATATTTTATAAAAGTAGAGATAATTTCAATAATTGACAGGGGTGGACGGGACAAGATAAATCTTTTTTTTGTCCCGTCCACACCTTTCAATTATTAAAATTATATCTACTTTCATAATATCATATTTCTTGCGTTTTTTTTAATTCAATGTATAAACTAATAAAAGAAGAATATTTTTGACAATTTTGATGCCAAAATATTATATAATAAATAATCTACAATTTTTTGTATAAAAACAGTTTTGTAATTCGTGCGTTTCGCGCGCTTGAAATGGCCGTAAACTCAAAAATCACACTAAATTTTTTTATGGAAGCGTTTTTGAAATATGAATTTTCATTGTTTCTAATTGATCGATTTGGTCAAACAAGCCCTTAAATTGAAGGTATTTGAGCCCTCTAAAACTTTCTTTTACATACTTTTGATATCGGATAAGTATTTTGACGCTAGCGATTTTAATAACTTAAAAAATCGTTTTTATGGCAAAAACTGAGGTAGAAAATTTACATATCGTCTTTAAATCAAACAGATAACTCCAGTTTGATTTTTTTTTTCGTGAAGCTAACATTTTTACGAAAAAAAACAAGCTAATATTGATAAAAATACATGGAAAAATGGCGAAGGTATGAATTTTTTAGTGGAAGACCAAAATTCAGCTTTTTGACGATTTATATTTTATTTTGTAATATATTTATTCTTTAATGAAAACCTAATTAAAGTGCATGATTGGAATTTTTTGAGTTTTTTACGTACTTTTTTCACCGAAAACATTATTCAAAATTTAAATTTAACATGACTCCGCAAACGTGAATTATTTTGTTTCTCGTGTTGGCATAGTGACATTTTACTGCTATTTTTTAATATTTTAACAAGCTATTTTTATTATGGTTTTATTTAATTATTAAAAAGTGTAAAATGAGTAAAAGAAGTAGAGAGTTCGAGTGCGTAAATAACCCTGACAATCTGGGCGACGCGTCGCGACGTAAGTGATGAGCACGGAGAACGTTTTCACCATCAAATAAAGGCTATGGAGCGGCGGTATCACGGCTTCTGGGATGCAGCCATGATGGGTGATTACATTTGATCCCTTGGAAAACAAAACAAAAACAAGGAAGGAGCCAGAATTTTTTTAAACCTATGCTTATTACAACAAAATAAAACTTTCAATATCTAATATATAATTTAATTTCAATATTTAATGTTTAAAATAAAAATCAATGTTCAATATTAAATTTTATATAATTCAACAAAATGAAGAAAAAACATAAAAATTCTCAAAAAACTAAATTTTGGTCTTTTGGCCATTTATTCATGGATTTTTATTAACAGCAGCTTATTTTTTCCTTTAAGTATAATCTATACGTCAACTCATCAACTTCATAAAATCGCCAGTATCGAACTACTGAGCCGATACCAAAACTATACAAGGGAAAGTTGTAGAGGGCTCAATTACCTTTGCACTTAAGTTTGTTTGGTCAAATTAATCAATTAGAACTCGAAGTATACTCTAAAACGTCAAAACACCTCAGAAAATTAAAGAAAACAATTGAAAATTCATATCTCGAAAACGATTCCATGAAAAAAATTGTAAATGTGATTTTCGCGTTTAGTGAGCCAAACTACACAAGAAAATCATAGTAAGACATTGTGGGCGAAAGGGTTGCAAACTAGTGTAATTTAATAACGCTCGAGCAAATTTTAAAAATTATTATGTCGCCTTTCTTTAAAAACTATATTATAATCATAATATATTGAAATTCAATAATTGAATGCTCGAGCATAATATATTCAATGCTCGCTCAATTATAAAATTTTCTTTTATATAACCTTAAAAACGCTGCCACAGTCAACAATTTTAAAAATTATTGCAAACATATACTTTTTTCACACAACACACAGCTTAGGCCCAATGGGATCGGTGCAATAAGTACAATTAATAAAATAATTTTACAAAACATACAATATCGTATACATCTTTAATTTAAACCATATTTTTGTTATGTAGGTATAAAAAATAAACACCGCCTTAAATGCTTTAAACAGCTGTATCTTGTTTAAATAATATATTTTTTAACTTTTTCTTTCGGAATCCTATAAATTAAGGATTTTTAATTACATTGATGTAGTATTTCTTGATTAGATAAAGTTGACTTTTTTGGCCAGGCCTACCCCACCAGTATTTTTTAACTTTGTTTTAGGAGTGGCTCCAAAATATTTTAATATTGGAACGTCTAGTCAAAATTGCACGTTAGATTTTAAAATATATGGTCCGAGTTTAAAAAGTTTAAACTTTAAAAAGTATATTAAACGACCATATAGATATGAAATTATAATTAATATGAAATTACTTATTAATATTAAAATTGTGTTTGATGTGTTTCAAATAAATTGTTTATTAAAATTTTAATAAAAAAAAATCTTTTGAAATGCACAAAATATATTTAATGTAATTTAATTTTAATTATTTTAAAATCCTTATGTTCCGGTGAGCATGTCAGAGTTCATTGTAAATAATAAATTTTGATTACATTATCCAACGTACGAACTTTTATTGCCTATTAAATTGTTTGTGATTATTAATAGCAGTGGGTCTACAAATTGTTAATACTGTTTTTTGGTTATCTCTTATTTTAAATATTAATATCACTTATTAGTAATTTTATTTTATAGATTCAATATAAATGGATTCCGCTACAGTAAAATTGAATAAAAAAAGCATTTTTAAGAAAGCTCTACAAAAAATACATGCAGAAAAACTAAAAGTTTTTAAATACGATGATTTAGTAAAATATATGTATTGTCCTACGGACCCCTCTAGTTTAGGAGTAATACGTTTTTTATTTGGTGAGTATTTCTTTTTAATTTATAATAATATATATTTAATTAAAGGTTTTATATGTATTTGAATTATTTTATTGGGTCACGTTTTTTAAATGCTCAATAACTCGAAAACTAGTTATCAGACCAGAACTTTTTTATAATATAATACCTAAACAGAGAGAAAACACTGATTTATTATTACAAAATAAAAGTTAAAGTTCAAAGTCATAATTTTAAAATGTAATAAATAAACTTTTTGTTTAATTGGTAAAAGATGATTAATTACATTAACTTGATTATTGCCTCAAGATAAGATACCACTAATTTTTTATATAAAATTTTTTTTAAATACACGATGGTGTTTTGCTGGTTTATGCCTTGGTTATAAACAAAAAAAGAGTATTTAAAGTAATAGTTTTAAGCTGTAAGGATTAAAATGTATTACACTGGTTTAATTTCAATAATCTAAATGGTAATAGTTCACCTATTGGATAGTTAAAAAATAAATCGACGAAGAGATGTCTCGTAGACGTTTTTACTATTATTCTTAAAACAAATTTCTTAATTTATATAACTTGCTATAGCATAATTTAACATGTAATACAGCACATTTTTTCACAATATGGAAATTATAAAGCAGATTACGAGGAACTCTTACCTAAGTGATATTGCGAGAATACATCAAAAAATTTCAAGGCCAGTAAAGAATATCACTTTGGTCGCATTACACAGAAACGGCAGTAATATTTTTTTTGTAAAAAAAGACTTAAGTAATATTTTTATAAAAAAAGAATGTAGTGATAATTTGTTACCGGAAGCTCATTATAGATAAGTGGTAACTTCTGATTTGTAGTTAGTCTTATATTTAAAATATTTTTTGTTTTATTTCTATATACCGGACTCTGTATAAAACTAAAATTACCTACTATACATTTTTTTTGTACTTCCCTATTTTTTTCTTCAAAAATACATTTGTCTTATAAAAACAGACTTTTATTTATTAATAATAATAATAATAATAATAATAATAATAATAATAATAATAATAATAATAATAATAATAATAATAGTTATTTATTAAGAAAAAAAAAACATTTATTCAGGTAGGTACATTATGAAAAAAGTTCAACAAATATGCTAAAATACACTTTAATGTTAAACCTTATACAATCGCACTGTTATAAATAGATGCTATACTAATAATAAAACATTTCTATATTTAAAATATTAAAATAAAATATATTATCATATAAAAAAAGCGTGCTTAAGGTAATAGTTAATCTACAGGCGCTTTGTATTTGTATACATGTATACAAATACAAAGCGCCTGTAGATTAACTATTACCTTAAGCTAACTAACTAATGTATATGATATTGAACCAACCACAGACCAACTGTGGAACCAACTTTTATTAACAAATAAATATGCTATCCTCTAAGATGAGGTCGGCAAAATACAATGCTACGTTAAGGTGGATATAAACCCATTACGGTTTATATTAAAAAACATTTCAGAACAAAATGTAAAATAGGTAAAAGCTTATTTTATTTAATAAGAAAAAACACAAATTTAAAAAATCGAATTAAAATTAATATTTCTTACAGTATCTAGTTATTAAAAAAAGGTAAGTTGCGATAACATTTAAAAAAAACTAAAGAAACCTTTTTTGTGTACTTATAATAACCAGTGGCGTAGCTAGCCTCGAGGGGGCCCCGTATCAAAAATCTGGTAGGGGCCCTCATACCGGAAAAGGTGCTGGCAAAAAAATTTTTAGGGTATTATTTTTTGCATTTACCAATTGTTATAATTTAATAAATAATATATGTGGGTGAATCTCACAAAAAGTTCCCCGATGGTGTTACCACGTAATATTTATTATTTATTGTGAGTTCTACATGATGATCTCAGGATATCACAGCGTGATAAAAAATTCATTCAATGAATGAATATGGCGCACATACAACATATATGTTGTATGTGCGCCATATTAAAGACTTCATTGAACGTCAAATGTTCATATAATATACATGGGTGAATCACACGAAATGTCCTCCGATGGTGTTACCCCGTGATATTTAATAAATCTAAATGAGTTTGACCTACATTTTATTGTGTTTTGATCTTTCATAATTAGGTAGATATTACAGCTCAGGTTCCAGATTTTTAACCACAATCCTCCGTGACTGTTACTCTTTCTAGGTTAACCTATATGTTTTCAAATATCTGAGGTAGTAAAAGCATACTAAAAATATCAGTTCACTAAGTAAATTAAACACATCCAAAGCAATTGAATCAAATAGAAAATATTAGTAAAAAATAAAGAAATAATTTTATGTAGGTGTTACAAAAATTGATTCTATCCTCCGTGAATCTGTTTTTGTTTTAAATTTTATGCAACGGATGGCGCTTTAATCATTTTAAATACGCAAAAACCTCTGTTTACATTATAGATGCATGTGATTCCTGAAGGTCAGTTAGAATTTATATGCAGATGAGGGTGTTGCTGTTATAATTTAAAAGTGTAAGTTCATTAATTTTCTATTTAAAAACCTATCCACCGTGAAGTGTAATATCTCAGTAAGTAGTTTTTTATAAATATTTTATGTATGTACAATTGTATTTTAAAAAAATATTAAGGTGTCAAAAGATATAATAACTTATTTCAAATATACAAAGGTTAAAAAAAACATACAAAATCCTAACCTCCGTGAAGATCTAATATTCAAAATGTATGATTTCTTAAAACTCTTGCATTAGTTCCCAAAAACCCCACAGTGAAACAACCAAAAATAAAAAATAATCATTTTCACTTGGGGACATCTCAATATATTCACCCATCCCGGACAACATTCCTGATATTCATACGAACATCTCGTCGTGATTTTCACAAATTTTATTCATACTGATATCATACGGAAGTCACCGCGTGATAAATAAAAATCATACGAACGTCACGTCGTGATTTTCACAAATTTTATTCATACGGACATAATCCGGATGTCACTACGTGAGAAATGAAAATCATGTCGTGATTTTTTATGCCATTGCTGTTTGCAATTGACCGATGGCCTAAAAAATCATGTCGTGATTTTTAATGCCAATGGTGTTTGGATAATCATTTTTGTGCCACGTTTGTATTTTCTTGGATTTAAATTAACTATATATAGTAAAATTAAATCCAAGAAAATATTGAATGTTAAACTGTTGATTCAATTGTTAACATACTTTTTCTTTCAATGTACGAATTTGTCGCAAAATTGAATATCCAAACACCGATGGCATAAAAAATCACGACATGACTTTTTATGCCATCGGTGTTTGGATATATATTTTTGCGCCACATTCATACATTGAGAGAAATAGTATACCTACATATATATTGAATCAACAGTTTTTGTGGATAATTACATTCAATATTTTTTTTGGATTTAAATTAATAGTTAATTTACATCCAAGAAAATATTAAATGTATTTAACCGCAAAAACTGTTAATTCAATTGTTAACATACTTTTTTTTTCAATGTACGAATGTGGCGCAAAAATGATTATCCAAACACCGTTGGCATAAAAAATCACGACATGATTTTTTAGGCCATCGGTCAATCGCAAACAGCGATGGCATAAAAAAATCACGACATGATTTTCATTTCTCACGCAGTGATATCCGGATGATGTCCGTATGAATAAAATTTGTGAAAATCACGACGTGACGTTCGTATGATTTTCATTTATCACGCGGTGACTTCCGTATGATATCAGTATGAATAAAATTTGTGAAAATCACGACATGATGTTCGTATGAATATCACGAATGTTGTAATTCAATTAAAAAAGATATTCCAATGTTTAACAAAACGTGAACGTTTTTTTAAACATTGGAATATCTTTTTTAATTGAAGCCGGACAACATTCGTGATATTCAAACAACGTTTTATAAATTATAACGGTGTAATGAGAATAACAAACTAGGTTTTAAATTCGCAGTTCGCAGGACTCATATGTATGCGCAAATTTTGCAAATATCACACTGTGAGTTCTACATGATATTACTGTTTTAAAGCATGTGTATGCACTCAGGATATCACAGCGTGATAAAAAATTCATTCAATGAATGAATATGGCGCACATACAACATATATGTTGTATGTGCGCCATATTAAAGACTTCATTGAACGTCAAATGTTCATATAATATACATGGATGAATCACACGAAATGTCCTCCGATGGTGTTACCCCCGTGATATTTAATAAAACTAAATGAGTTTGACCTACACTTTTATTGTGTTTTGATTTTTTATAATTAAGTAGATATTACAGCTCAGGTTCCAGATTTTTAACCGCAATTAATTATTTTTTACAATGTTTTAAGAGTCTATAACCTATCCTCCGTGACTGTTACTCTTTCTAGGTTATATGTTTTCAAATATCTGAGGTAGTAAAAGCATACACTGAAAAAACAAATCTGTTTTATCAACCAATAAATTTTTTGTTGCAATTGTTCTTGTTGGTCCTAATAAAAAATTTGTTAACCCAAGTAAAGTGTTTAATACATTAGTATTTGCAACAAAAATGAATTTTTTGGAAAGAATTAGTTTACCCTACTGACAATATGCGTCGCCGCTAATAGGTATCCTTAAGTAAACATAACAAATATATTTTTGTTGTCAATTTTCGCCCAAAATTGGCATGACGTGACATTGAAATTTATTTTATAAAGTTGACCGACTTGGTGCCATGGTTAAAGTTAAGTCTTGGTGTCATAGTGATTGAATAATAAAAAAATAATTTGTCACTGTCAAAAATTTTTTGTACAAATGCTAGAGGTTCGCGTTAATTAATTTTTGTGCATTGGGCGTTATGGATGAAGGAGTAAACCAAATATTAACCGAGTGGGGATTTTCTTCATTAGAAAATACTTTTAAAGGTAAGGAAATCATAGCTTTTTGTTATATTATTTTTATGAAATAAACAGAGTGTCCCAAAAGTGAAGGACTAATAGTGCCGTACTAAGATTGAAGAAAA